TGAAGATCATGCGTTTTACTCATACTTCAAATAACGCATGATTTTCGCAAGATTCACACATGATTTACGCATGTAATAGCCTTCATGCGTAAATCATGCGTTTAAAAAATTATGCGATACACGGATGTGAAATACGTGCGAAAACCGCACGTGAAGATCAGGCGATTTACGCTTACTTCATATTTCGCATGATTTATGCATGATTCACGCATGATTTTCGCATGTATTGGCCTTCGTGCGTATATCATGCATGACACTTTTGCCTGTGTAGGGTTTGTGTATTAGGGTCACGTTCACCCCTAATATAACAAATTGTTAGTAAACCCCATATTTTCGTACACACTATCAGAAAAATGGAAGCAGGTCTAAAATGCCTACCAATTCATCTGACAAGGGTCAAATGGCTAACCAAATATGAAGTCATTCTGTTCAGTATTTTCTTAGAAAAGTGTAATAACAAATTTTCAACATATTATATTAAACATACATGTATATATGAAAATCTATTAAATGGCCAACAGGAGGTGGGTGTCTGAAAATTTTAAAATGAGGTCAAGGACAATGGACAGAAATTTACCAACATAAGGCATCTGTATGCAGGATATGAAATGAGGTATTAAAGTCTTATACCTTCTGAAATATACAGCTTAAAACAAAAAGTTTAAGCTGTTGCCACTAGATGAGCAACAATTTGTCTCACATTATGTGACTCTACACATGCAAGGCAATACAAACATCCAAAAGAAGGATTTTGACAGTTTGGTCCAGATTGGCTCAGTGTACATTCACAATGCACAGGACCTATTAATTGTACTTTATACAGTCACTGACCATATAAAGCTTGGTTTTTGGTGTTGATAATGTGCAAACTATGCAAAAATGAGGACATGGACAGACAGATGGATGTTTTCTCATTGACAATTATACCACATCTCCTTATTTTTATCTAGATGGACAGAGTGATTCCTATAATACCATCCAAAAGCTTTACTTGTAGAGGGCAATTATAACAATTTATTTCAAGACATGTAAATTTATTTTATATATAGTAGTTAAATTTAATGAAAATCAAAGTACTATCAACAAAATTAACATCAAATATCATATTAAACAATCATATTTACAAATAGCAATATATAAAGTATATACATGTATATAAGAACAAATAATAATATGAAGTGTTCTAAATACAAATACATAAAAAACTGGAAAGCTCTAAGGGGCCACAATGTTTTAACTCATTGAGAAAAAACGTATCAATTTTATTGAAAAAGAAGCTATACAATAATGGCGATACATACTTAATTGGGAAAAAATACAAAGATCCATTGTCATGACAAGCGTCTGCACAAATATTTGGTTTTAAAAAGACAAAATATGTATCATAATATATAAGACAGGCTTTACTAGCCCTGAATTACAAATGACATTTTTAAGTAGTATTCATTGTTCTTTGCTTTATCAAATACAAATACTGTTGTCTTTACCGAACTGATAACCTTTAAGCAAAAAATGTTTAAGGGTTCCGCGGAACCCAGTGTCTCGCCTACTTTTGCTGTTAATCGCAGGCTTAACAAAAATGAGGAAAAAAAATTATAAAAATATTCCTCTCTATACTATCTTTTGATTGTAAGTAGCTTCTGTCCAAGTTTGGTAAAACTCCAGGATAGTTTATGAATCTAATAAATGTTTTAAAAACTTAAACTGCATACTGTATGTAATGTTAACTGGAAGAAAAACTAAGTCCATTTATAAGTAAAATACGGAAAAAATGGAACAAAATTTTAACAAAATTTCCTTCGAGATACTAGCTTTTAATCATAAACAAGCTTCTGTCCAAGTTTGGTACAAATCCAAGATAGTTTAAGAAAGTTGTTAAAATTTTAAAAACTTTAACCACAGAGTGAATGTAATGTTAACTGACAGAAAAACTAAGTCCATTTATAAGTAAAATACGGAAAAAATGATATTTTTTTTTACAAAATTTATTTCTGGATACTATCTTATGATAATAAACAAGCTTCTGTCCAAGTTTAGTAGAAATCCAGGATAGTTTAAGAAAGTTATTAAAATTTCAAAAACTTTAACCACAGAGTGAATATTGTGGACGCCGCCGACGACAACAACGACGCCGACGACGACGCCGACGACGGAATGAAGGATTGCTATGTCTCGCATTTTCGACAAAAGTTGAAAGCTCGACAAAAAATGGCAAAAATATTGAGGAACAATATGATAAATACTATTGGACATAATGTTGGAAGGGAAAGTTTTAGGAGGTATTATCTTTCAAACTTTGATAACAAACTCTTTACTTATTGATTTGCTTACATCTTTTACAATACCAATGTTTAGCTTTTGAAACAGTTTTCAAAAATACACATGGCAAGTGGTTCCATTCTAGACAGGACGAGCACTTAACAACATTAGTTTTCAAATTCAAATCCATAGTGCATGAACTACATTTGTGAAATGAGTTTTCTTTATTTTTCATAACTACACTCATCACATCAATCATTGCTTCTTTTGTAAAAAAACTTTTCAACAATTAAAAGGTCTACACTGTCATCAATAAGAGCACTTAAAAAACAAGGTCCTGGACTTCATTTTGAAATACTTTTTCTTTTATCATCAAAAACTGTTCTTCCTTTTTGATCTCCAAGAATCCACTGCAATATTGCTGTAAGAGAAAAAAAACCATGTAACATTATTTTTTTTAAATGTCATGAAATATCAAAGCCAATATTCTTTATACAAAAGACATACTCTTTACTTTATCTAAAACAAAATATTGCTTTTCCACACCAACAAGAAATGCTTCCATAGAAAACTGTGACCAGCTCACATTTTCATTTTTCAGTGGACTCCAAAACTTTAGATAAAAAAACCCTTATTAGGAATATTTTAAAAAGCTTACATCATAATGAAAATGTTTTTTTTTATTTACTTGTTGATGTGAGCACACGTCCATTTTATGAGGCTATTTTTAACCAGAACTATAACCTGTCAAACTACCTTAAACCAAACTCTAATCTCATATTGGATAGACATATAAGTACATTTCAAAAAATAAGTCCAAATATTTTATTTTGAAATTACCCTTTCATAATTTGAAGTAGAGCAAACATTTAAAAAACAATTGTGATTACCTAGTTCTTTTATCACACTACTTTTCTTGAAGAAAGGCTGAAGGTGATGTCTCTTCGATTTCTTTGTTACACCAATAACAGTTTTCTCACTGCCTTTTGGTCGTCCTTTCCTGGATAACTTTGGTGGATACTTTATGTCACTGGGTATTGAAATATTGTGCAACAAATACTATAATGTGTGACAATTTGACTTACAAATGCTTAGCCATAATAAGAAGTGCGGTTTGATGCCAATGAGACAACTATCTATAAATCAAATGTCACCAATAAATGTATCAACCAATTATCTTATTTTCAGTCAAAAGGCCACTTCACAATTAGTTTGGTATATTGAATATGGGGGCAGATTTTTTTATATTTATTAAATATGATAGCACATTAAAACCTTAATTGTATCTTCTCATCTTGGTTAAAATCTTCATCAACAGTTTCAGATTTGTTATGTATATAAAACAGTATTTAGAAACATCTAAACCTAATACGCTGTAACTACAGTCTATGCTTTAATAATGAGATGAAAAATAAATTAATATTAAGTAAAAGAAGGAAAAGCTAAACATTAATTTTTGTTGGCTCTTGCAAAACTCTTACGCCTTAAAATCATTACTTACAAGACACATACTTATTTCTGCATTCTTACAGTACTTACCAATAGGTTCTAAGTTTTCTGTACCATCATCAGATGAACATGTTTTTCTTATGTTTTCTGTATCTACTTCAAGATGTATTCTCTCTAAAAAAAAAATAATACAGTATATTATATGAATGTCTCTTTCTTTTAAATAAAAGTATGTTGAAAATAATTTGAAATAGATAAAAACTGAGCTGAATTTTCCCCACACATTGATTTTTAAATTAAAAAGAGTTCATTGTCGTAATCTGTATTTTTCAACATCAATGTTTTAACTGCATACATAAGAACTTTATGTATATCAAAAATAGGTTTATTCATTTTTTTAAGCATTTGCTTGTAATAGACTCTCCAAAAATATGAAAAAGAGCTTATTAATAAGTGCAAACCTTCTGCAATATCAGTTTCATTGAATTCCAGAACAAATGTTATTATATTGTGTATCAAGCTAGCTACATCAGGTGTTCTATAACTTATTTCTTTGTACGAGTTGCATAAAAATGTAGCAAATATTGTACGTTGTTCTTCAGTCAACTTTCTTGTTTTATCTTTATAATCTTCCACAGCTGAAACTGGGTTTCCAATTTTTGGTAAAGATTTTGTATGTCCACCTCTGATAATGAAGTCTTTAATTTCTTTCTCCATATTTTGTGTATTGATTAATATTTTCTCAAATTCTTCTTCTGTAAACTTCAACAAATTTTCACAATTTCTTTCAATAAGATTTGTGCCAGGATTGGAAATCTATTCTAGGTTTCTTTGTTTGTTTATTTTTCACACTGTTAGGATTTGAGGTATCACTATTCTTTCTCTTCAAATTTGAAATGAATTGATTGTTCTTTAATGTTTTGCCTAAAAAGTTAAAGTCATTAAATTATGGAAGCTTTAACTAACAAATTGTTTACTTTGTAGTTTTTTCACATTTATATGTCCCTTGCAATCAATTTTATAAGTAATCATTAATTAATATTAGAACCCCATGAAAAATCTTCAAATGATACAATTTATTTGTATACACATTGTTTCTGGAACAAATCTTTTCATGAAAAACTATGTATAAATGCACTGATACAGTAATAGTGAAATGTTTAAAATCTGAAAAGGCAACTAAACATATAAAACAAACCTACCTTCTCCTTTTTTAGAAGATATCAGAGGAGGAAATTCTTGTGCTTTTATACGCTATAAGTACTGATCTACAAAGTAAAATGCACCTGAATCCCTTTCATTATTAATCCTACTTGTTGAAGGCCGACATATTGGATCTGTTTGTCCTTGCAGTATAACTGTTGTAGAGTTTGTACTTTTACCAGCATATTGTCCATCATTCTTGCTATAAATTGGATCTGCCTCGTGATTATCTGAAAATAATAGCATGCATATATGCATATATTCATATATATATATATGATATTTAATTTTCAAATTGATCCATGCCAAGCTTAAGATAGACTGAATGTTGATTGTTGCTATTTTAGACCATGTATATTTATTGTTGCTTGCTTAATGTTCATGCAGTGGCAATAATGAACATTCAGGATGAGAAATTTTTACCAATTATAGAAGTATAGATGTATGAAATAAAATGTATTAAAACTATTCTGCAGTAGACACTGATCTCATTACATTTGTTAGCAATAAAAAAAAATGTAGTAAACACTGACAATGAAGCACACCTTTATGATTATTGACATATACCAAAAAACAGTTTAAAAAAGTAAAAACCTTGTTCATGCAAAACATTCGCAGAAATTGGTGTACTGTTATATGGTGTATTGTTATCTGCTGTCCTGTTTGCAAATCCTGGTTGGTCACATCCACTTAAAATATCTTCACTGACTGAAGTATCTAAAAATGAAAATAATAGTAGGTATTATTTTAGTAATTCAATTTGAAAACAAACAAAAAAATCAATATTACATGAAAATAAAAATTTAATAAAAGCTAACATCAGAACACAGCACTGATCACAGGGATACTATAAAGGAAACCTAAAAATATCTGGTTTTTTTTTAAATTTTGCAAAAGTTTTATGTTATCAGCAATGCAGCAAATGTACATGTAGTGAAAAAAATTTGTATGACTTCAAATAATTTTTTTCATTCTGATTGTTATTCTATAAAAAAAAAAACAGGCTCATAAAAGTACAGATAAACATGTACATGTAACATGCAGAATATATAAACATGTACCTGATATTATACTATTGCCTAGTGATCTCCAGCTTGTCAGTAGTTGATTAAACTGCTCTATTCTCTTCTTATATTCTACCATAGATACTTCAGCACACAGGGATGCAAGCTGGTTTGTTATGACTGATGCCTTTCTGTACTTTTGATGTTCTGACAATGGCACATTTTTTTCTTTCACAGTGGAACAGATAACGTGTCCTTCCACATTTTTGTCTGTTGTCAGCATTCTCATTTTTTGTAGATAATAAGAAAGTGTCCATCTCATGCTGCAAAGAGATGCATCAAACCAAATCTAGCCCCAAAAATAACCTTGTAACAAGGATATGTTCACAAGGAAGTGACATTGATCTATTAAATATACAGGAACATTTTTTGTCATTCAACACAATTTTTCCATAAGAATCCTCATAATACAGAATTCCTGTGTCTTCTTCTGTACTATTTTGCATTTTTTTACACTTTTTGATATTTATCAAAACAAATTTTGCAGCATAATCTGTCAAATAGGTGATGTACTTTTTCTCAGGGGAGCCATCTTTGAACTGACAAACACGTGCCTTTTGCAGTTCAACTGCTCCTGCATGGTCCCTTTCATTTCGTAATGTTCTAATGAGAGGTCGAAACTTGTCAAAAAAAGTCATCTAGGGTCGCATTGGTACAAACAACAGATTTTAACTTCTGGTTAAAGCTTTCTAGTCTGTTATTGGTAGCATTTAAAAATGATTCTTCATCCAATTGCATACCTGACACCCATTCTTTTCTAATTCCATGCCAGTTGCTTTTAATGTATCCAATGACTGCTGAAGGACACATCTCTTCTATTTCCTTGTACACCTCCTCATAGTCCTCCTCAGTTCTACTGTAAACAAGTTTCTGGATTAGTTATTCCCATCTTTTCTACTGTTATTTCACGTCGAAATATTTTCAGTACACGAAATCTACAAATTAGGAGAGAACTATGAGGAAAAACTGATCTGAATGTCTCTCTTCCAATAAAGTCTTTATCGGCCATTATCATTTTCATTTTCTGATATGATGGATTAAATTTTTTGAATAGGTTCCCCATGTGATCAACAAGCTGTTGTTCTTCAGCTGCTAAGAAACAAAGTCCAGCAACTTCTGACTGACCCATACTGTCTTCAACAAGGAAAACATATAAAGGCATTCTCAGATTATTCACCTTAAATGTAGAATCAATGAAGAGAATTTCTGGGTAATTTTCAAAGTTTTGCAGCATTTCCTTGTCCTGGTAAAACAAACCTTGCAAAACATTATCCTCTGATGCAAACAATTCAACTATTGTTCCTGAAATAAAAATTAAACTAGATATAAAACAGTCAAGAAGTTATATTATGCTGGTAACTGTAAAATTGACTAAGTTAATAAAACTGAAAAGTTGGTACAGTCATCATACATGTATACTGTTTCATGTTGTCTACCTTGATAAGCAAATAGGTAACAGACCTAATCAATCAACTAACTATGAAAATTAGACTGAAGTCAAATAAAACTGTCAGAGATACTTTTATTCATACAATGTACATGTAATTTCAATTCTTCACCTATATAAAATTAACAAAGCATTCATTTATGAAGGAGTCCTCTAATGATCTACATTTTATGATTTAATTTTGGATGGTATGAGATTTTGATTTTGAACATTAAAATGGATCATGATAATTCAATTAATGTCACTTTTAAATAGTAACAATGGTCATTGAGGAGTTTCTTTACCAAGCTAGCAACATCATGACATTTTGACCTGTTTTTGATAACTGTTTGCAAATTGGTAATATCTTTGAGTGGTCTCTCAACAGCTTCTTGTTTACTTTGAGAGAAATCAAGGACTCTGCCTCCTCAGTCATTTCCTTTGGAAGTCGTCTTTCTCTTGGCAGTTGTTTAAACAGAGCCTGGAATAAATAAAACTGCACCATGTATTTTTACCACCAAATTTTCAAACTATTGCTGCTTCATATATATCGCATGATATGAATGTCTAGAATATATTTCTTCTCTTCAAACTAAACCTGTTGACTGGATATATCTTAGCGTGGTATTTATGAATAAAATAAGGAGATGTGGTATGATGGCTAATGAGACAACTTCCCATGTACATTATATTGATTGATTGGTGTTTAAGGCCACTTTCAACACTATAGTAATATTTTATGTCGTCAGTTTTTAATGGTGGAGAAAGAAGGAATGCAGAGAGAACCACAGACCTTCAGAATGAAAAGAAACTGTCAGTAACTGCGATTACTCTGAGATTTGTACTTAGTGTCTTTTTGTTGTGGGGATGTACAAGTACCTGGCAACGTCCACTCTGTGCAGTATTTCTATTTGTATCCATCTGATGAGTTAAGCCTTTTTCAACTGATTTTTATAGTTCGTTCTTATGTTGTACTTTTACACCACTGTCCCAGGTAAGGGGAGGGTTGGAATCCTGCTAACATGTTTAACCCCACCACATTCTTTAGGTATGTGCCTGTCCCATGTCAGGAGCCTGTAATTCAGTGGTTGTCGTTTGTTTATGTCTTATATATTGGTTTTTTGTTCATTTTTTGTACATAAATTAGGCCGTTAGTTTTCTCGTTTGAATTGTTTTACATTGTCATTTCGGGGCCATTTATAGGCGACTATGCGGAATGAGCTTTGCTCATTGTTGAAGGCCGTACAGTGACCTATAGTTGTTAATTTCTGTGTCATTTTGGTCTATTGTGGAGAGTTGTCTCATTGGCAATCATACCACATTTTCTTTTTTATATAAACCTAGTCAATTAAGATTGGCATGTACATTGTAAGTTCAAATGAAGTGGATTAACATTAGACCGTAAACATTTATAACATTTACCTCAGAAGTGTCATGATTATGTCCATTGTTAACAGACTTCAACTCCAGGTAGTGTCCATCACATGATAACAGGAAACTGATACTAGATTGGCAATGCTGCCTAAATGTCCTGAAATGATAAGCGGCAAAGGTTTAAAGATCTGATCTTGGAAAATACTTATTTGAAATTAAACAAATAAACATGCAGATGAGAAGCCCAGCGACACTGTGCAAAGTTTATGCACAGAAACATGCACATTCATATTTGTAATTCCTTACCTGGATGTATTTGTTTTACATACAGATGTACATGTATATAATGAAGTACATACATTTATAACTATAGACTTTTTAAGAATTTAATGCATGAACATTGCATATCCCCCTTTTCGAATCAAAGATGTCTGCCTTTATGTATAGAACCTTAATGTTTAATCCGTTTCAAAAAAAAAGAAGCTGTATGTTGCATTTTCCTAGTCCTTATAATAATGATATCTAGAAAGGCTATTTATTTTTTTTGGTTTGACGCCTTCGCAGTAAAGTAAAATAGCCTTTCAAGACGTCATAGTAATTTGGACTAGCATTTTCCATGCCAAACTACAGCATTTTGTACAGGAGGTAAAGGCTTGCCTAGAAGTTTTTCTTATATCCCAAACTATTATAGCATTTTAACCATCATTGTTCATGACTAGGACAAAGTTTAAAGATGTGTTTTACAATATTGTACTTCTGAGTTCTACTTCTATGTGCTTAATCTGCAGTCGAAATTTCCATAACGCAGATATACTGTGCGTGTGTTTCAACCAGTACACGCCAAGTTAAAAATAAACAAAAACTATTGTGTATTTACAGGAACAAAAACAAATAAAATTATGGGATGTTTGCAACAACTGTACAGGGTTAAAATCAGGTATCTATATATAGTTACGCCAGGAACTGCCACACACAGACCCGGATTTTCAGGATATCTATACTTATCATGCATTTAATTCTCATATTAAAATGTCCGATACCAAACGTTTTCAAGTTTGGGACCCCCCCCCCCCCTCTTTTCGTTTGGTATGGGACATGTTAAAAGTCCATGCATAACCATTAATATAGCTCTATAAGGGGGGCTCGTCTCCTGGGTCCCCTCCTAAATACGCCTCTGCATTTCTCAGAATAATATATACATGATATATAAAATACATCATTTTGCTGGCGGATATCGTTAGTTTCTTAAAAACTTCGATCAACTACGGATGCAAACAAGTACTGTTTCATTTTAGGCCATTTAAGGTGTATTTGAACGAGACAGCGAGGAGAGTGGAAGTTATTTATTGCACTGAGAGAGAAAATTTATTTTTTACTGTTTTGACACCAAACAATTATTACGTTTGTAACACATTGTACAGCACATACATAGTCCATCCCAATTATTCCCTTTTTGTAGTATATTGTCCCTGTATTTTTATTATTTCTTGTGTATAAGTTTGTCCTGACATTTTGAGATTACCCGCTATTACTGGCACCCGTTTGTTGATTTTGTTAATAATTTAAAATAAATGTTATTTACACTATCCCGTATGTAAAAATAAAACTGATATCTAAATTAAAAGCTTGTTTAGTCCTTCTTTTTATCTGATTTATACTTTAAAATAAAATAAAAAAAAGTAAAAATACTTAATTTTCAAGGTAAGTGTGGGTTGTCCGCACTAATATAACAGAAAAGAAATAAAAAAAAGACATAGATAATATAAAACCTTTTTTTTTTTTTTTTTTTTTTTGGTTTTAAACTTTTAAGTTACTTTGTCATTTTGTCTTTTTGGTCTTTGTCTTTTGTCTGACTCTAGTGTTGGTTACATATTACTTTTGTTTGATATAGTTCATATCTACATACCTATTTCAGCTGAAAAAGTGTTAAATCATATAGTGTATTTATGTCGTTGGCCATACTAAAGAAGATTATTCAAAAAACATTTCATGCGCCGACTACCCCAAAACTTTATACTCCAGCAATATTAGGAGATAGTATTATAGGAAGATTAAAACAACAGACAACTCTACCTATACAACAAGAAATATACTGGTGGTGTCAGGGAGGTAGAACAGCAACTAAAGCCCTGGACTGGGTCAAACAAAATCTTGACATAGAAGTACAGCTTATTCCAGAAAAAATTTGGCTATATATTCTTGTAGGAACCTGTGACTTTACATCCTTCAACAGAACAACAAAATACATATCACTGAAATTTCAAAACACTGCCGAATTAGTGGAACATCTTATCAACAGGTATAAAGAAATTATCAAAACGCTCAAGGATCTCTCACCAGAAAGCCAAGTTACAATACTGGAAATACCCTTTTTCTTTATACAAGCCTGGAATAAATCACATAAACATAAAGACCCAGAAATATTTTACGATCAAGACTGCTAACTAGAACAACAAATAATAGAAATTAATAAAGCCGTTAGAACCTTGAACCATCAAAACTTTTCTCCAAATTTCAATATAGAACATCAACCAGGCAACAAAGAACCTATCAAGCAGATACTTCACACAGCTGTAGCCGTAGGCAGGGAAACACCAAGAGCCGGATATTATATAGTGTAAGCCTCTTGGACGACGGAATTCACCCAAACATCCACCTATCTAAAACTTGGCTGAGGAAACTGACCAACCAAATATCCAGAGACTGTTGGGCAAAAAACAAAGCGCCAGACGAAACCGATATAAATAATAATAGCTAGGGAGTAAACATCAAATCCATAGAGAAAAAAAAATAATTTAAAAAAATTTTAAAAATATATCAATAAATAGGCTAAATTTAGAGGTTAGTGTGGGTTGTCCGCGCTATACCAAAAACTATGCACTCAGAAAGATAGGTCAGTGTGGGTTGTCCGTGCTATGCCAAACATCATTCTAGTGTATATTAATATTTATATTCTAATTTTGAAATTAAAAGGTTAGTGTGGGTTGTCCGCGCTATACCAAAAACTATACACTCAGAAAGATAGGTCAGTGTGGGTTGTCCGCGCTATACCAAACATCAATCTTGTGTATATTAATACTCATATTTTAATTTTGGATTTAGAAGGTTAGTGTGGGTTGTCCGCGCTTTACCATAAAAGTCTAAAAAAAACCAACATATATATATATATATATAGATTATAAGTACTCCCTAGTTGTTATCACTATAAACTTCAAAATGCAGGTGCAAAGAATGAAGAAAAATTGCTCAACCGGAGACCTGCGAACCAGCACCATAACAACAAGATCCTATACCCTGGATAGAAATACTGCTCTAGAACAAAAAATGGAGGCATGCCAGAAAGAACATATAAAATTTGAATTAAAGCCAGGGAAAAACTTTGTCATAGAATTGGACACTGGAGCATACGAAACCATCAAAAGTGAAATACTAAACATCCTCCAAAGTGAGGTAATGAACGACCAATTTGTAATTCTACCCATCCAAAATGGTGTAGA